GGATGGCGTTTTAAGAGGTTATGGAGCAGAATGAGCCATCGTCGAGAATTACTCGCTAGGAGGGAGATCATTATTGCTGGAAATTATGTGTATTCTGAGAACGGGTAAGGGCGCAATGTGGCTCGGGGGGGCCACCTCGCAACATCGCGTCAAAATCACGGAAACGCTCCGTTTTAGGACTAAGCTTTTGAAGAGGAGAGGAACTCCGGTGTACGGAAGCAATTTTCGTATTCTCCGGAGTTCGTCCCTGCTGTTTAGGCTTAGTCCTAGATGACTTTTCTCAGAGTGCCCCCCCGAGCCACATTGCGCCCGGGTAAGTATTTAGATGTCTGAATTATTGGTAGATTTTTGTTACACTTGCAAGACTGTTACACTTTTCGGGAATTTTCCACGAACTGTTACTTTTTTCGGGAATTTTCCACGAAATTCTGGGTTCTGCAGAAATTTTTCTTTTTTTTTGTTTGTGACTGTACCCAACCATACCCATCTGCCCTCTCGCTCTGGTTATGGCTCAACAAACCGCCTAGGCCTCCAGTTTTCGCTCCCATCCTCTTCCATCCTATACGAAGCTATACCTGTCTCCCAACGAATTGTCCGTTGACGGAGCGAAGAGCATAGTCGAGTACAGACAGAGTAGGAAAAATTACGAAACTCAAAATTTTGTGGGATCTTCTCAAAACAAAACAATAAATCTTCTCAACCATTCTCACATTTAACTAATTCCAACTCTGCACTTCATAATACACTACAGATTCCTTCCAACATGACCCACTATTAAGGACCCCTAGAAGATGGCTCAACCTGTCCTGGAACTTCTTCGGAATACCTCACCAGGGTCCAGGAACTGTATTTTCACATCTTTTTCTTAGTTACAGCTACTAACCTTGGTTCTGCTCACTATTTTCTACTGCAGGACGGATCATGGCAGAAAGTTCAAGTAGTCATGTAATTATTATATTTCCATACAAGCTTGACCCCAAGGCGCCAGACATCTGGGTAATATTGGGTCCTTTTCACTTTTTTGCAATACCAGTTGGCGCCGCACGCATTGCGCGCGCAACACAGATCTGCTGCGAACTTTGATGGTGCGACAAAAATTTTCATATTTGGCTTGATACACTACGAATATCTGAATCCTCAGCTAAATTCAATCCGCTCCATCATCGACGGCTTTCAACCTTTTTTTCTTCGTCAACCATTATCCTCTTTTTCTCGGTCTCCGGACTGCTTCCGGACAATAAATCTCGTGGCAAACTCCGCCTACTTCGGTGCGTGCCCCGCCCACCAATAGCATTTGGCCCCCTTCCTTTCGCCGACCTCTACCCTTTTTTTCACCGGTCTCTGGGAGACCTCTAGTTGAGAAGGAGAATCTATCGAACACCTCTTGGCAAACGTCCCGCCGCCATTTATGTGCATGCTCTCCGCTACTGCCTAATGAGCGAGTTGACCTCCTTTCTTGGCCGGCCTCTACTCCGCTTTTCTCACACAGCCTCCGCGGATACTTTGTTTGGAATAGGCCGAGTTTACTATATTTGCGTCGTCAGACATCGCCGCCCATTTGGCCAAGCCAAGCGCGGGCACCACTCGATGACAGTTGGACCTCACCCGCGTCACAACCACGATCTTACGTTGCCCACTCTGGTATTCGCACAGTAGGCTGTCGAAGCGGGAACCTTGTTGAAGTCGAGTTTTGAATTTCCGTTCCGCAAAACTGCGTCACATTGTAGAAATTTTTCGTCATAGGGGAGACGCGCGGCCCTAAAGACAACGAAATGGATATTCCGGTTTGAGCTAACTACTCACCCCTCCTCCACTCCACGTCTCGTCCAACTTTCTCTGGATTACCTGGTAGGCTTCCGGGACTTGTTGGAGCCGAGTTTTATATTTTCGTCGCAGACTCCGCCCACTTTGGCCAAGCCCCGCCCACCGATGACAGTTAACCTCCACTCCTCCACCCACCTCAATCCACCTTTTTCCCGGCCTCCGGGTCTTCCTGGACTTTGTTTGGATCCGATGTTGTATTGATTTTCCAGTCGGCAATGACTCCCGCCCACTCTTTTGATGCGAAGCCGCCGCCTCACGAATTGATCGTTGAACTCTCTCACTCCTCCACCCACCACTTGCCGTCCGTCCAACTTTTTGCGGGCGAGCAGGCTCAGGGAAACTCTCGTGGAGGCTCGAGTTTGAATTTTCCGTCGCACCACTCCGCCCACTTTGATCTCCGCCCCGCCACAGGATTACCGAGTGACAAGCGTTGACCTCAACACTCCGTCACCACCGCCACCTCCGTCCTAACTTTTTCTTGGACTCGGACTTGTTGAGGCCGAGCTTCTTTGAATTTCCCGGTCCGCAAACTCCGCCCACTTTGATCAAGCCCCGCCCACCGACCGATGACAGTTAACCTCCACTCCTCCACCCACCTCCGTCCACCTTTTTCCCGGCCTCCGGGACTTCTTGGAGCCGAGTTATGAATTTTCGTCGCAAACTCCGCCCACTTTGGTCAAGCCCCGCCCACCGATGACAGCTGGCCTCCACTCCTCCACCCACCTCCATCCACCTTTTCCCCGGCCTCCGGGACTTCTTGGAGCCGAGTTATGAATTTTCGTCGCAAACTCCGCCCACTTTGGTCAAGCCCCGCCCACCATTGACAGCTGGCCTCCACTCCTCCATACACCTCTATCCACCTTTTTCCGGCTCTTTAAGACTTCCCCGACCCGAATTATGAGGGCTTGTAGAAAATGCTGTACACTTCAGAGCGCGCCCCGCCCATTGTGGGCGGGCCTTCTCGCCCACGTCATGTCATACATTATACGATATACGGACACCTTAGACATTGCTCCCTTACACCAAATTGTTTTCTGCTCTGTAGGCTTTCTCCCAACCGAGTTATGAAATTTTTCATAAAGCACTGCTTTTTTAGAGAACGCCCCGCCCACCGGGGGTGGGTCTCCCTAATTCGATGTGACTTACCAATGCACACCTTAACCCACTTTTTGGCCCAGTTTCGAGGTCGTTTTGTCACTGAAATCGAAATCTTGGTCTTCGGTACAATTCATTTCGACGCACGCCACGCCCTCTGTGGGCGGGGCTCCGCTTAGCTGATGTGTGTTTTGTATTACGTGAGACCCTGCCCACCCATCCCACACTTGACCCGGTCCCTCCAGGTGGATCCCGAGGAGCTAGGGAATTTCGTGACAGAC